GCCAGCCATTACTAAAATCATGAAGGGCCGGAGAGATGGCTCAGTGGAATAAGTGCTTCCCTGGCAAGCGCAAGGGCCTGAGTTCAATCCCTGGTTCTGAAAAATCAATCAATCAATCATGAAGATGTTCCCTGGCATTTCCCTCTACATGAGACTGTCTATTGGCTTTTTTTTTTTTTTTTTTGAGACAGGCGGTCACTATGCAGTTCACTTGAACTCACTTTGTAGCCCAGGTTAGACTCGAACTCACAGCAGTCCTCCTGCCTCCCAGGATTACAGGCATGTGCCACCATGCCTAACCTTCTGTTGGCTTTTTACCCTGTAATTAAACCTAGTTTTGTGACTGACTTACTGACTTTTCTTAGTAATAATTCTAACACAATATAGATTTTGTTTGTGACATGGAGGATTGAACTCAGGCCTTGTGTGTACCAAATGAGTACTCGATCCCTGAGCTAGGCTTAGCCCCACAGCAGGCACATGTTTAAAGGGCCTGCCAGATAGCTCAGTAGACTGAAGTGCCTGCTTAGGCAGAGTGCAGCAACTGGGGTTTGATTCCCAGCATTCTGTGCCAGCCACGCTTCCAGGGCACACTGAGCCTGTGACTGAGACTGGGTGTGGTGGCGTGCACCTATAATCCCAGTGCTTGAGAGGCTGAAAACAGGAGGATCACTATGAGTCCGATCTATGTAGTGTATAGACCTTGTACTAAATACATTAAATAAATAAATAAATAAATGATGTTTACTCTCAGATTTTTTTTTATTATTTGTGTGTGTGTGTGTGTGTGTGTGTGTGTGTGTGTGTATGTGTGTGTATGTGTGGCCAGCTCAGCCCGTGTGTGTGTGTATGTGTGGCCAGCTCAGCCCACCAGGGGGCGGGGCGGGCTGGCATGTGGTGCTGGGGGATTGAACCGCGGTCCCTTTGTTTTTGCTAAGCTTGTTCTAAGTAGGTGCTTTAGACCACTGAGCCATCTCACCAGCCCCTATTCTGAGATTTTAATAGACTTAATAGACTAGGTGTGATCTTACTAAAACATGAATATTTCTCTCTTTAAAGTTTGTTCGCATTTGGTGTTGTTTTATGTTTTTGAGATAGGGAATCATTATGTAGTTCAAGCTGGCCTTGTACTCATGTTGTCCAGGATGGTCTTCAAAGTCTTTTTCTGCCTCAGCCTCCCAAGTGCTGGGCTTGCAGGTATGCACCATTGTGCCTGACTATAAATATTTTCTTGACTCTTAAATACTGAGAATCAAACCTAAAGCAAGTGAAATTCTAAAAGCTCGAGTGGTGGGTGTTTAAAGTAGTGTCTAGTTGTGTGCAGCCAACTCGGTAAGCATCGTTGAGGAACGTGGGGTTCTCCCACAGCAGGAGTTGGTGTTTCTATGCTGCCCGGGTCCAATTCATGCCTTTGGTTGCGTCCTTTTCCTGTTGAACTGTCTGGCTCTTTTTTGGGAGGGGGAGGTATTTGGATTGAACTCAGGACCTTGTGCTTGCCAGGCAGATGCTGATACCACTGAGCTATCTTCCCAGCTCAAGAGTAGAGCCAATAGCTCAGTGGGCACAAGGTCCTGAGTTTGATCCTTGGTACCAAAAAAAAAAAAAAAAAAAAGTGGAGCCAAGTCTTAGGAACCAGAGGGAAAACTGTTAGTTCCTGGGTAAATGGAAAAGAACTATTCTGGATGTCAAAACACGTAATAGGAATAGTTCTGGTATTTACCTAAAGTGATACTTGAGCAACTCTGATATAGAAACTGGACAACTGTTTAAGGTATATAATTATTCTGGGTTAACTTGCAATAACTAAGTTAATATTGTATATACATTGTGAAGAACAGTTTTTTTTTTTTTGTGGAACCAGGGATTGAACTCAGGCTCTTGCCCTTGCCAGGGAAGTGCTTATTCCACTGAGTCATCTCCCTGGCCCTGGAAGGTCTTTGGAAACATGGCTAATAGATTACTCTCTAGGGATTTGGTTTGGTTTGGAGACAGGGTTTCACTCTGCAGTGAAGGCTGATCTTGACTCAGGTAGCCCAGGCTGGAACTCAGCAATCCTCGGGCTTCAGTCTCTTGAGTGCTGAGATTACAGGTGTGGACCACCATACCTGGCTAGATTACTTTTATTTTATTCTATTTTTTATTTTTGTGGAACCGGGGATTGAACTCAGGCCCTTGCCAGGGAAGTGCTTATTCCACTGAGCCATCTCCCCAGCCGCTAGATTACTTTTAATGATCAAAAAATACTCTTCTATTTAAAGAATTTCTTGGAAACTGTACAGTGGATATTTGTTTTTATAATGTGAATTATCATCTGCTCATTGACTGAAACTCTTATACATTTACATGTGTACTTTTTAGGGAAAAAAAAGGTAACATAAATACCCTTCAAAAATTAGTCCCGGGAGAGTGAGTAGTTTCTTAATACTGCTGCCAGTCTTTACTGTGTCAGGTACTTGGTTAAAATAGATTATTATTTGCATATGTGTAGCAAGTAATTCTTACTCCTTAGTTACCTGGGGTAAATATTTACGTAATGTCAGCCACTTTTATGCTAGCTAAAGCAATGTGTAGCAGCATGTTAGAAATTTTTTTTTATTAGGAGTGTTATTAGCTACTGGGGATTGAACTTAGCCAGGACCTACACATCCTGAGCTATATCCCTAGGTGTTTGTTTGTTTGTTGAGACAGGGTCTTGCCAAGTGGTTAAGTTGTTCAGGCTAGGCTGAAACTTGCAATTCTCCTGCCTCAGCCTGGGATTATAGGAATGGGCCACCATAGCTAGCTTTGGTGGTATCTTTTTAAGCATTCATTCATTGGTTGGTTTGTTTGCTGCTGCTTCTTTCTTTTTTTTTTGTTTTTTTTTGGTGGAACCAGGGATTGAACTCTGGCCATTGTGCTTGCCAGGGAAGCGCTTATTCCACTGAGCCATCTCCCTGGTCCCTGGTTGGTTTGTTTGATGAAGGCTTTTTACTGTGTTGTCTAGGCTAGACTTGACTCCTTTTAATTGGCTCATGAGATATTTTTTTTTTTTTTTTTCTTTCTCCCTCAGCCTCCTAAGTAGTTAGGGCTACCGGTGCTTGATACCATACTTGGGCTTTTTTCTTAAAAAACCTTTTATAAAAAAGTAGTACCTGCTCTGCAGTATTAATACTGATGAGCAAGAGTCACTTTTTTTTTTTCCTTTTAAACAAAAGACAATTTATTCAAAAAAAGGGGAAAAGGGGAAGATAGCTACCCCAAAGAGCAGGGACACCAGAAAGGTGGGTACACCATGAGTTAGTTTGAAACAAATACCAAATTAGTACTTCATGTGGAAATTTGAACAAAGTGTTGTTTGAAATTTTTTTCTTTTGACACAGTTACTATCTTTTTGGTATACCGTACCCTGATGATTTGCTTTCTTTTATTCTCTCGTAAAAATAAACAGTGCTTCTCTCTTTGCCCCTCCACTGTAGGACTACGAGCAGAGTACAGTATCCCTGAATTTGGTTCCTTGTTTTCTTTGGAGTTCTTGGCTGATTAGCCTGTGGCAATCATTTTCTTGCTTTGGGAAAAGGGAAGTGGCAAAGGACTAATCTGTGAGTCTAGTCTAAACTGGTGTTTTGCACCTGGAAAGAACTCGATATAGTTCTAATTTTGTAAGAAATTTAATTATGTCACCTGAGATGTCAAGCTCAATTAAGGGGGTAATTAGTAGGAGGCACCTATCGCACAGTCCGATTCTCTTCCTCCCTTTCTTTACATGTGTGTGGGTATACACATTCGAATTAAGTTGGGAATCTTTTTCCCCTGGTACTGGGGATTGGAGCCAGGGCCTTCATACTGGGGTTGTAATCCTTCTGCCAGCTGGTATTCTTAATGCCTTCTGTACTGAGGACTCCTTTGACAGTCTGGAAATTGTGGAATTCTTCCTCCCCCTCCTCCTTCCCTCTCTCACTCCTTCTCTTCCCCTCTCTTCCCTCTCCCCCTTCCTCCCTCTTCTTTCACCTTCCCCTGTTGTTCTTCTATACTGGAAATCAAACTGAGGACCTTGTGTTTGCCAAAGGTAGGTGCAGTGCCATTGAACTGTATCCCCAACCTCTGGACCTCTTCTTAAATGTTTTTAAATACATAACATATGTAGGGTTATCAAGGAAACATTTAAAAATAGTTAGCAAATGTAAAACTTGTAGTAATATATGCTTAACACAAGTAAAACATTCTAACAATGTACTTAAATTTCACAGCAGTGAGTCTAGATGATATTTAAAGATCTGTAACAACTTAAGGTGGCAGGGGCTGGTGAGATGGCTCAGTGGTCTAAAGCACCTACTTAGAACAAGCTTAGCAAAGCACAGGGACTGCGGTTCAATCCCCCAGCACCACATACCAGCCAGCCCCGCCCCCTCGTGGGCTGAGCTGACCACACACACACACACACACACACACAAAAAAAATTAAAAAAAAAAAAAAAACTTAAGGTGGCATAGAGGTACCTGATTTATATTGACAGCAAAATTACAAGCACTATTCTTCTGTGGTTTATTGCCTCCACTCATAATTAAAGCATTACATTGCAGGGGGACAGTGAAAATATGTGATTCTCACCTCTTTTCTCAATTCTAATTTCCCTGAATTCAATTCATGGCCCCTTTGGCTCTAATCTCAGACTTAAAACATCTGGACTAAGGAAGGCTTCGTGTCTTGGGAGGCTTAAAGTTGAAGAAAAAAGGTTTCAGCTCTGAATACAGTTATCAGATAAAATGTTTTTCAAACATTTTATGTGCCAGTTTTAGTGACTTTTTAAGTATGTCATAACATTCCAACAATGCCAGACCTCCAAATGGTCTCAAGATGCATCCTGTAATTAAATTTTTTTTTCCCTTGGGCTTTCTTTTTATATATTGTATGGTTAATATAAAATTAATATTTAAGTGATTTCTAAACTTTCTTATTGAATATTGACATCTTGTACTTTTGCATGTTATTTTTCTTTAAAATATTTTAAAATTCTTCTACAGGATTCGGAAACTTCAGATACGAAATATCCCGCCACACTTACAGTGGGAGGTAAGAATTACTTTAAGATTATGATCTAAGTATTTAAGCCTATTAATAATTTTTCTAAGGAGTTTTTGCCTTTCCTCCAGCCTGGGGTGTGGTAGAACACAAAATCCTTCTCTTATAGTCTCTGTCTTGATGCGGGCTTTTCTTTGTAGGTATATGGAATATTTTTAAAAACTCTGCTCTCTGAAATATTAAAGAAGAAGTTGGGAGTTTTGTATAACTGGATTATGTTCTTCCTGTAGTTACATCCAGACAGGATCTTGTTTGGTATGAGTTTTTCTAGTGGGTTTGCCAATTACTGTATACTTAAATATGAAATTTTGTATTTGGCAATTTTTTAAAAAATAAATACTAGCTGCTTATGTTTTATTTTTTCATATCATGATTTATTCTTTGAAAAGTGGTTCTAAAATGTCACACACTGAGGCAGACAGATACAATAATCAATTTTATGAGGCTAAGTTGTGATGCATGTAATGATTGTTCACACTGGGGAATCTTGCTCTTTGAGCTTATGTGGTACAAGTCAGCAGTAGCCGCAGGTTTTCTAAGGAGCTAGGTGTCATTTGTCTCCAGTCTGAGTGGACTTCTTCTTAGCTGCTTTCTGCTGTTGTTGCGTGATCTTGGAGTCCCTCTGCCTTCTCTGAGAGGTAGTCATGCTACCCTCTTTTCCTTGCTTTTTCCCTGGGTTTTCTCCATACTGCTCTTTATGTCCACTGGCCATGCTGAGCATCCTGCAGAGCCTAGAAGACACAAAAGCACAAGCCCTCTGGGACAGAGCTGGTGCTACTTCTGGAGCTGAAATTGGTGGGATGATGCTTCCACTGCTTCTGTGTTTTATTCAGAAGTGTTACTCTGCTTCCTTTTGCTTAGATGGTGGTTTTATAGCTAGTATACTTAAGCACAGCTATGTACACAGCCATATAGCTTGTTCCAGCAATTTCTAAGGCTTAATAATGCTATCTCCAGAGGGGGGACATAAGTCAGCAGTCTAAGTACCTGCCTGGCAAGTGCAAGGACCTGGGTTTGATTCCTGATACCACATGCCATGCCCCACCCCTGGGGCGCACTGAGCTGGAGACAGAGTCTGGGTGTAGTGGCTCATACCTGTAATCCCAGCACTGGGGAGGCTGAAAGCAGGAGAATCACTATGAGTCTGAGCTGCGTAGTAAGACCCCGTACCAAATACATAAATGAAAAAAAAAAAACCCAACCAAACAAACAAAAAAAAAAAAACCTCTGAGAGGGGTTGCTGTGATAGCTTAGCTGCATAAGTGCCTGCCTGGCGAGCATGAGGTCCTGAGTTTGATCTCCAGTACCAATAAATAAAATAAAAGAATAAACTTAATTTTAAAAAAAGGAGCTCTGAGAAACCATTGACTCTTTCTGATGGAACTTGAAAATTCTTTTAAAAACAACTTGGGGGCTGGTGAGATGGCTCAGTGGTCTAAAGCACCTACCTAGAACAAGCTTAGCAAAGCACAGGGACCGCGGTTCAATCCCCCAGCACCACATGCC